TTGTGAAAAAAAAAAAAACAATAAAAAACAAAAATAGGGAACATGCCATTGGACTGGTTGACTTGCACAAGCCCCACAACAGTCCTAACACCACGTCCGAATTCATACGCCTTGACAGGCAAGGAGCAGCCAAACCCATCTTTCCACTCAATGCGTCAAATCCTAAGCTGCACCATGGCTGAAGGAATTGCGTTTGCCCGTTATACTCCCCCAAAATAAAGACAAGGAAGGAGTGTCCCATAGGAATGCAATAAAACCTGGATTCTACGAAAGAAGAAAAACGATCCCAGTATCAAGAAAACTATGAAACTTTTAAAGGAAACTTGAATGCCACCAGAATCACATATCAGCTCGCGGTTATTGAGTATTCAGACAACGGGCCAGGGACAGGCCCCGGGGCATTAACTAAAAACCATAGAAAACAGAAACCAGAATACCAATTTCTACAGGAAACCGAATCAACATTACACTCAATGAACAAGACTCCACAGAAAAACCAAGGCTCGCTTCCAACTCCTCAGCCCTTTTAAAACAAACATTAGACACTTTAAGAGCCACAAAGAGCTTGCGCCAGCTCAAGCCATCGGGGCCACCGGCCACGGTGGCTGAGCCGAGTCAAGTCCCCTGGTGCAAACGCACTTACGACTAGAGTTCCCTCTCTAGCTACTCGGACGCCGGACGGACGCGCGCTCGCAAGAAGGAGATGGGGCGGGCGCGTAGCTTCAGTCCATCTGGAACAAGTCTCACACCTCTCGGGCCCGTACGGACACACTGGCGCCAGCATAGGAGCACCTTCAGCAGAAGACGTGGCCGGTCCGGGCCCGGCCGCGCGAAACGCCAAGAAAACACAAAATTTCAGAGGCGGGCGGCCAAACAGAACATCAACCTGCCTGTGTCCATTAACTCCTACAAGACGCCTCCAATCCAGAGACAGACCACCCCTCCTGTAATCTGAACCCACCATGGACAAATTGTGACAAACTGTGACTTTGATTGTGAAAGGTGCTGTTTTAAATTTTTAGCTGAACCTGACCCCTTTTAAAATATGATATAACTAATAACATATGATTCAAAAAAAGTAAACAAACCTTTTATTCCAACTATGGACAGCAATGATTTCGTGTATCGTCATATTCCTAATCCCTACATAACATACTGTAGCGGGAGATCCGAAATGTGGAACGTCATACATGTGACAACAGGTGGTTGTATATTTGGGGGGATAGTAAGCAGTTCCATTTGCTGATGAAGGCCATCATTTGACAAATAATTTTTTTTAATTCGTTTTAAAACAAATACAGTGCAAATTCTGAGACAGAATAAGATGGTCTCATAGCAGTAGCAATAGTACTACAAGTAATAGTTTCAAACTGGCAGTTTGTGACAAAATAAAGAAAAGGGGAATAATAGACTAGTGAAAAATTGGCAGTGGTACTAAGAGAATAATAAGAGAATGAAGTATTATGTTAAAGGTTGCCTGGCTACATAATGAGTTGTAGTGAGTGTCGGAGGGCAGGATCACCACCCAGCCATGGTGCAATCATAATGTCAGGCCTTTGAAAATATGCAAGAAGTGTTCCCCAGACCCTGTAGAACTTTTTCTCTGATCAGCATTAGAAAGCTTTATAAAAACAGTAAGTGGACCTTGAGTTGAAATTGTTTGTGACACACACTGAACTCAGTCATAAATGAACTTGTCATGCTCAAATCTTTACTTATAATGTGGGTGAACTCTTCCCTTATAGGGTTCATAAACACTAACCTGAACCGTCTAATTGTTTGAAGTAAAAACATAAAAATCATCTAAACTAATGTTGATGCCATACATGTGCAGCTGCTGTGACGCTTCTTCTAATGAATACAGGCCCATATGTGCTTGTTTACCACAAGCTGACTATAGTCAGTATGTTCTGTTCACCTTCTGCAGCAGTATAATTAGGCTAAAGGAATCACGCTCACTAATCTATAACAGCAGGACTGTTATCGGCACAATGTTAGCATTCGCTCAATACTTACTGCAGGATCTCCAGTGCTGCACCGTTATGCAAAATGTCAGGAATATTTTACCCAGCTCACACACACAGACCAACAGAGAGAGGAATGGAGGGAGAATGAGTCAGACAGATAGACTGATATATAGCTGTTTCTTTTAAAAACGCTGTAATAAAACAAGTCACCTTGTCACAGCCGCCCAGTTCAGCTTCACACTCTCTTGTCTTCTATCTGGCTTTAGTTATTCTGTGCAGGACATCCTTATCTAGTCTCCTAGACGACTGATTGTGAGATTTTTTGGGCCATATTTCAGGGGAGAGCCATAAAGCCTGTTGGCACTGGTATGCGGATGATACACTGTATACAGATGGGATCATTTGTCTTCTCTGAGCTTCTGTCTCTCGTTATGCTTCCCAATATTTTCCCCTTCCATACATCATCCATTAACCAGCAGCTCATTAAAATCATTGCTGTATTGATATTCAAGGCAAACCATTGTGTTTATTGCCCTGATCAATAAAGTCCTGATTGTCTCCATCAGTTCACGTCCGTGATGCTGCTGGTTTTTATTGATACTAGATGGGCAGACTGTTTGTTAGTCCTGACAGGTTCTGCAGGAGAAGCAATCACTGGTGTCGCTAATCAGCCTGTGTGATAATCAAAGCACAGGAGCAGATTATATTATCATATAATGAGGTTATGTATGATGACGGCTGAGCCGACACCGAGACACTGTCAGTGCTGGTTATAAGACTGTGTCAACTCAGGATTTGTCCTTTGTGCTGTGTGCAGTTTTTGTAATGCTGCTGTAGAAATTAGGCCTTTTTTTTATAGGATGCATTTATTAAAAGTCAGTCTGGATCATTTAAAGGGGCAGCTCGTTGGAGAGATTTGTAGATGCTGGAGTAGCTAGCATTGCAAGTTTTCCATTATATTGAAATTATTTCCTTCTGGGATCACTGTTTACTTTGGAAGAGTGGGAATTCTCCTAAAACACAGCAGATAATCAATCAGAAATGGGTATTTATTCACATTTTTCTCATATTTATTCGACTATGTGGTAGTATTGTTGGGTAGTTGGGAAATAATTCCTCTTGGAATCACATAAGATTCTTTGATCTTGTGTTTGTCAGTATATTGTCTTACCTGTTACTGCATGCAGTAGCAGGCGAGGAAAATCTTTTGTGTGCAGCCATGTTGTTTGAGCGGTCTGAGGCACAGGAGATTGGCTGTAAGGTTGTAGTGATCTTCAGCACTCAATGCTCCACCTGTTGAATGCCGCTCCACACTCTGATTGTCTGGTTAAGCCACTTGTTGAGCCATCTGTGTAGATTGTGTTTACACATTTTACACTTCACATCATTTATACTTACTCCAAAAACTATTTTCCCACACAGCAGGACTTGGGCTGGTTTAGAGAAGGCATATTCTAGATGGAATATGGAGTGTGCCACCAGACTAATGATTTGTAACTTCGTCAGTGTTTAAAAGGCAATTATAAACTGATTTATTTAACTGCATTTAAATGATGTAATAATACACTCAAACTGAAAAACCTGAATAAAATACATTAAAATTGGCCATGTAATATTTCTGTTCCCTTATCTAGTATAATAGAGAATAATAATAATAATTTAACATTTGAACTACCACTATAAATTTTTTCAACTTCTTTCCAAGACGAGATGATGATATATCACTACTATGCTTGTATGTTAAGTATAGAGCAGTCAAGACAGTCAAGAATAAGCCTAGCTTAGCATAAAGAATGAAAGCAGGGGAAACAGCTAGTACAGCTAGGAATCAGAGCCGGTGATCTGAGCGCCCAGTCCTAACTAACACTGCTACATTTGGCAGTAGATACTTTACTGTCCATCAGGAAACTCTGTAAATCACAGAGAGTTGAGGCGGAGCAGCCGGAGGACATCAGAGGGAAAATCAGAAAACATTTTCTCCATAAAATATGATCCAGTTTCACCAATATCAGTCACGTAGTTGGTGGTGTGTGACTACTGCCGTAAAGCGTTACACATCAACCCGGAGCCAAAAGTTATAAAGTGCAAAACAGGTGTACAGGGCACAGAGTGGGAAAGACCAGGCACCATTCACCCTATTAGTGCCCCTATCAGTGGAGCATCAAAATAACTTTAAATCTGTTATTTTAAGGGAGAAAAGTTCCATAATGCTTTACATTTCTTTAATATTGCTGTCAAAATGTATAAAAATGTGCATCATCAAGCTCCTCAGTGTGAATGAATGGAAGGAAGTGACCTCGTCCTCATCTTCATCAATGGAGGAGCAGTCGGTCGAATCACTCGAAAGCAATGTGTGTCACTAGCTGTCCACCACCTCATCAGTGTGTATCTTGACTACATTTAGATGCTACATCACCCTGACCCAGTCCCTCCACCTGACCATGAGCGGAGCTCCAGCGGGGCCCGCAGGCACAGGGAAGACCGAGACTACCAAAGACTTGGGCCGAGCCCTGGGCATCATGGTCTACGTATTTAACTGCTCCGAGCAGATGGACTACAAGGTGAGCAATGTGTGCACGTATGCTAACGTGCATTCGCAGCAGCCTGTATTATGCACGTCTCTTTTCATCTTTGCCTTTGTCAGCGTTATGATATGCATTCATCATTAAAGTCGTTAGCCCACCTTTATGCCCTTCTTTTTTCATCTTTTTTCTTTTCATCTCCCGTTTGGCTGCTCCCCCCCCGCCCCGAAAGACGAACTGATTAGTTAAACTCTGATTGTTATTTCTTTTCTAAACCTTGTCAAAATGCCCTCTCTGTACCCAGCCCCCACCTTGCTTCATTATGCGCTCTTGTATACTCTTGCACACACACTTTCTGCATATGGGAGCTCAAGGGAGGCATAAACATAATCTTGTGATCCAGCTTCACAGGGGCGTCATTACAGTATAGAGGCGTACAGCACCCGCGGCTATACACACCACAGCAAGGTGTCAGAGAGAAGTGCTAATATACTCCAGGAGGAACACAGGCAGTAGAAGCTGGCTTCAGAGGCCCACACTGTTACTCATATTCAGTCATGCACACACACACACACACGCACACACACACACAAGCTGAATCAATCCTCCAGTCAGCTCCAGTTTGCGTCAGAGAAGGTTTCCTCTGCCCTGTAATTGGAGAGAAAAGTCAGCTGCCTGCTTCATCCTGGTCCAGCTGCTCTCCAGAGGTCTGTTCACCTGCTCTCAAGTTGATGTTGGCAAAGCTAAAATTTTCTCTTTTTGCAATCAACGCCTTGTTTTATTAGTGTGAGACCATGTTTATGCATCATCCTGTTATTATTCGCCTACTCTCAGCCTGCTGTGTAGCTGCAAAGAATGTTCTTTCCCCATATATCTTCTGTTTAATGGCCAATACGTCTGCCTCACCACACGCCTTATCAGTCAGTCAGACAGAGTCTCCACCTGTGAGCCCGCCTGATTGACTTCCTGTCCCGCTGTGTCCATCTGAATGTCTGTCTCTCTTGTCTCTGTCCATCAGTCCTGTGGGAGCATCTACAAAGGCCTGGCTCAGACGGGGGCATGGGGCTGCTTTGACGAATTTAACAGGATCTCAGTGGAGGTGCTGTCTGTGGTGGCTGTGCAGGTAAGAACAAGCCCTCCGCCTCAGGTACTCCCGAAATCCCATTCTGGCAGAGACTTGGTTGCGAGAGCAGCTCGTGTGTGTTTTCACCCCGGGCGGGTGGAGCTAAGTGTGTGAGTTTTCATCTAATTTGAGAAGTGGTCTATCCAAATCAAGTTGTGGTGAAAATAAGCCCTTGAAAACAGCACCGCTGTAGTAAATAGCCTCTTCATCACCGATTGCAAGCGTAAATTGCTTCAGATATAAGACTAATCCAACAAGGCTGGCACCTTTGCACCGCAGAGCTTCTTCATAATTGGAGCCTCCTCTGATCTGATCTGAGAGTTGAGGATGGAAAACCGCCTCCTGCTCGCCCATGGAGCTGGTCACGATGCTCACATCTTACAGCGCTAATAACAGCAACTCTGACCGGACAAACTGCAAGCTCTCAAAGGATGTGCTGCAATTATTTGGGGGAATTATTCTTTGCTCAGTGTTTGTACATGGTAAATTTGCAAATGTGTATAAATAACAAATTATTTGCCCTTCATTTGACTTAATTTTCTCTGTGAAGTTACAAGCTTTCCTTCCACTGTTGCTTTCATTTGACTGACACCAAATAGCCCATTTTGAGCCTTAAACTTGTCCCTTTTGTTTATCCCACTTAAATGTGTATTAAAAGAAAACTTTTTTCTTTTTTTCAGTTGGAAATGTGGTACTGTCAAACAAACAAACAAATACACACAAGCAACTTGGTTGCAAATATACTTGCATCCAGATAGCAGCAAACATTTGAACTTGATAACATTGTAATAATTATCAGTAATGGCCTCTGGGATTGGCTTATGGTGCTGGGAAGGAATTCCGAGTGTCCCTGTTATGTTCTTTGGCTGAATACAAGTGCAAGACAGAAATCAAGCGTTTGTGCCTCCGGGCATCTGCTTAATTTTTCATTTCAATTTAGTCAAACCAAAAACAACGGTCACGATAATGAATATTTATCTCCACAAGAGTCTTTTGGATAACATTAAACAGAAACAGTCTTCATGTGTACATGACTTTAATTACAAAGCTGTGACTGAATAAAAAGTTTGAGTCTGGTTGTAAAGTCATCACTTATCAAGTATTATGTGCCGAGGTGACTTAGTGACCCTGTCGGCCTAAATCATACTAATTAGACAAGAGTAGTAGCCGACAACTTTTCATTGGTTAAAAGCAGTATATAAGTGTATATAATGGACAGAGCTTCTAGGTCTGTGAAATGAAGCCGACGCGGAAATGTCTTTTACCAGCATTCTATGTAATGGCCAGCAGGGGAAGCTCCATTGGCTGCAGTGAAAGACTGGTAGCATACAGTCTCATGGAGAAATGACCCTACTTCTGGACTTGATTTATTAGCTCTGTCAACATTGTTGACATGTTGACAGAGCTGATACAATAAACTCTGTCCCATTGTATTGCCAGATTATTGCCAATACACAGCCAAAGCTGCAGTGTTGTGCAGATTGTCCAGACTAACAAAGACACATTGCTTCTTAATTTCCAATGCTGTGAGCCCAATGATCAAAATATTCACCTGCCATTCACATCCATTGTACTTCAGTGGAGGCAGAAATGTCAGGACAGAGATCATTACCTTAGGAGGAGTTGTTTGAGACCAAAACAGTGCTAAAAGGAGAGTGCACATTGGACTGTAATTTAAAATTTTGGCGGACTCTGGATGAACTCATTGTAACAGTGACTTTGCCTTTGTTCTCGCCCTCTTCCTCCACTTCATGCATAGTGACATGAAGTAAAAGAGACTTTCTATTCTCCACACACTGTGCGCTGTATACTCTGGGCAACCTACAGTACCTACCCCTTTGATTATGGGAGTCTTTTGAGAAATCAGCCATATTCTGTGTTTCAGCTGATACTCGCTTTTCTGCTGTCTTGCATTCTGTTATCCCAGATCAAACAGAGCCTCTTTCTCTGGTTTCTTCAGTCCCTGTGGTGTATTCAAATCCTGCATGCTGTTGCCCCTGCATGCTATCTTTATGCATGTGCACATACTGTCACAGCAAAACATATACAGTTGATAAGGGCGCTGATTATGATCATGATAATAATGGAGATAGAGCCCCTCAGAGGATCATTATTCACTGCTACACTCGCTCCTCTGCCCTTCCCTCCATCTCTCTTAAGCAACAATGAAAGTCATGCAGCCTTCTTCTATAAGCTGTGGAAGTCTACAGTACTTAGAGAATTTTAAAGTGCCAGAAGAATGAATAGGTGTTGCGTGGTGTAATGAATAATAAATCAACGATGGCTTATACGTGGAGAAGTAGACCTTGAGAACAGAGGAGCGTCAAACTCCTGCTGTGACAGCTGGCAGCCTGCTCCAGCGCTCAGCCCGCTTCAGTGGAGCTAATGTCGAGCCATCTCTCACCGCGGCACACACACCTAATCCATCCTCTTAAAGTGGGAGCAGCTAGCATCGCGGCGGCGACATACTCGGCTGCCGGTTGGGTCTGCTAACACAGGTGGCGGGGACCGGTTCTACATTAAATAAAGCAAACAGAAGGCCGCCAGATGTAACAACATGGAGATAAATTGGTGGAGCTCTGCCTCTGTTACAGCCAACACAGGCCCGGACTGTGAATATATTGATGCTGCTAGCTGCACGTACAATCAAAGAGACAGCAAAGGGTGGAGCCGGACCCCACTGGATCACACCTCTCAGAATGATGCCTGTTCTCGAACTTTTTAAAAATGTCTTTGTGGCATTTTCCTTTCCTTCCTGTCCCTGTAGGCTGGCAGTGGTGGGCCGCTGTCATTTCACATAAAAAACAAGCCCCACTGATGTTCTCATGAAAACTTTTGTTCTTTTTTTTTTTGGGTGCTGCAGCTGCACTGTTTGTTTTTGCATTTCCTCCCCCCTCCTCTCACTGTTGTGTTAGTATGACTGAGTGATCTGTAGCCGAGTACTCATCCATGAAGAGATGTTCCTCCTCTTTCCAGCTGTCGACTCGCTACGCTCTTTTACCACACGCATGTTAAATTCATAAAGCCTCTTACAGGCTGGGATTCAGAGTTTTAGGCCAAGACACACATAAACACACACACACAAAAAGTTCATTTCTGATATCTCATTCAATCATAAGGTAGACAAACGGAGCCTTGGCAGTTCATCCATCCAGTAAACCCTGGCTGATAGCATGCTCATATTATTGATGAAATTGTGTCCCTGAGAAAAAAGGTGCATATCGCATAACAAGTTGACAGGCTGTTACAAATTGACTCTGGTATGTGCGTAGTGATATTAATGATATGCTAATGAGCAATACCAGACTTTTTCAGTGTGAGGGTTTCACTAGTTGGAAGCATCTTTTGGGAGTATATATTGACAGCGACTAGGACTTGTCGTGGTTTAAAACTTCTTGATAGTGGTGCCAATACAGTACTTTAATTCCTCTAAAACCTTTTTTTGCCATGCTAGCGGCGTGGCTTTAGACTGAAGTATCTGGACCACTATTGGATGGATCACCATGACATTTTGTACAGACATTTTTGGTCCCCAGCGGATGAATCCTGCTGAAATTGGTGACTTTTTCTCTAGTTCCACCGGTTTTCACTTATCCTGTGAAATACCTCAACATCGACTTGATAGATTGCCACAACATTTTGTACAGACATTCGTGTTTCCCTCAGGATGAATTGTAATAACTTTGGTGGTCCCTTAAAGTGGAAGTCCATTAATTTTACTCAAAGTGTGTTTCCAGGGATTTGGGAGTATTATTGCATATGTAAAAAAAGACATATAAATAATTTTTTTGCTCCAGAGGGCGCTGCATGAAGTCTGATACATTTCCTCAAGTGATATCACTTGAGTCAGCATTGGTTGGGAATGAAGACTAAGTTTGAAAATGAAAATATCTGCAGGTATGGAGTTAGAAAGAAGTGAGCCCACCAGCTTTCTGTAGCCCGCTCCTCATCTCTGCTTGAGGTTAGCGGCTTGTAACTACATGAGTCCACTACACCCGCATATCCAACCTAACTGTCGGTGGTTGTGTTGCATTGTGGGTAAAGGAAGTGCCAGGTTTCAACAAGGAATGTGTGGAATAAAGATGATATCTCTGGTTTGGCAACCATTGAGAGTCCAACGTTATCGGAGTGCAGTGCTAATGCTTTCCCATTAGACTCAGCTGTACTTGTGTAAAATATACTAATTAGCTAATTTTAGCACGCTAACATGCTAAACCAAGATGGCAGGCATGTTAACATTATATCTGCTTAGCATCAGCATGTTAGCATTGTCACTGTAAGCACATTAGCATGCTGGCACTAGGATTTAACTCAAAGTAAGGTTGTGCCTGGACTGGTTGTAGACTCTTCATTTTTATTCATCAAACAGTTTAACAAACAGTTTTTAATACTTGCTGTTATGTACATATTTAGGTGTATTAAGGCACCGTGTAAAAAATTGATAATTCATCCTACCCTGCAGGTCAAAAGCATCCAGGACGCCATTCGAGATAAGAAGCAGAGGTTTAACTTCATGGGAGAGGAGGTGAATCTTTGCCCCTCTGTCGGCATCTTCATCACGATGAATCCGGGCTACGCTGGCAGGACTGAGCTTCCTGAGAACCTCAAGGCTCTGTTCAGGTAGGCCAAAGGACTCTATAAGTTGGATTCATTTTTTCATCTGGGTTGATGTTTAATTGATCAATTAAAGTTCAAGCCATCAATACCATACCACCTACCAAATACCAAAAGAATACCTTTTCTACAAAACCTGTGACAGACATATCGCCACCTCGTCACTGTCCCAGTGGGAGCTGGGTAAGGCTCCAGTCCCCTGTGATCCTTTGCAGTAGATTGGGAAATAGATAGATATTGACATTTAAACAATCAATGGAGGAGAACAAGTCAATATTGTTGGGCAAAGGGTTGAATCTCTATTCAAAACATCAAATCCCATAGTTCTATTTTTCCAACCTTAGTATTCAAAACCGTCAGTTCAGAAACATAGGGACTTTTTTTTGTATAAAGTAGTTCAGAAGTAATTTCTAGTAACAATTCCAACTCTTATTATTCTCAAAACATTTCTGTGCAAATATTTATACATATTTCTCTTGTAAAGCCTAATGGATTGTGTATAAAATGCCAGAAAAACATATCCTCATATACCTCCCCTGATTACATTTACATTAAATTTACATTATTCATTTGGCAGATGCTTTTGTCCAAAGTAGCGCATAAATGAGGTACACTCCAAGCCACAATATATCATGGAGAAGCTATTGATAATGAATGCCACAATACTCAAATTTCAAACTCCTCTTGACAGAGAGAGCAGGTTGTTAGGTGAATATTTACTGCCTTAATGGAAATCAGCTGAAAACATTTGGTGAATAAAGCAGACAATATTAGCAAAGAGCGGTGTAACATGTTTAATTGTGATGGACTGTTACTTATATCGAAGCTTATGGCTTTGGTCACATGTCCACACAAGTTGAGTGAATTGCGTGTATTGGAGATCAGTATTTCCCAACCTGGGGTCGGGACCTCTGCTAGGGGTCACCAAAGCTTCATAGGGTGTCACAAGGCCTGTATTTTACATCCTGTTTATCTGCATTTTATTCAATTCTATAAAGAAAACTAAATTAAATTGTAATTTTTAAAGTTTTGAAGTACTGAACAAAAACTTTATCCACAGAGCCTTCAGTCTCTAATAACCTGCCTCGACTGGCGTTAGAAAAGTAGGCAGTTAAAACAACCAAATAGCTATTAGAACAATGAAAGAAAACACTCAATTTGTCAAAAAAGAAACTTATTAAGTATGTATGATTGTTAAAGATAGTAAAAAAAAAATACAAAACACAGACAGAGAATTGTATAAAAAGTTACTAAAAATATCAGGAAAACTCAATATTCAATATTCAAAGGAAATAATCTGCTCAAAATGTATCCAAATTGCTTGTTTTACATAAACTTCCTGCAGTTATTGCATTCACTATTTGGGTTCATTGTACAGTTTATCAGTTGTTTTCTAGCATTATTGTTATGTGTTGAATATAATGTGAAATGTCCATAAAATATGTCACTTAGTTTACTCAGTGATAGAAAATGGGTTGAGAACCAGTGCTGTAGATGACAAAACATTTATTTATCCAGGATTATGATTATGAGCTACAGCTTTAATGCCTTCTGTCCATTCCTCCACAGACCGTGTGCCATGGTGGTGCCAGACTTCGAGCTGATCTGTGAAATCATGCTGGTGGCCGAGGGCTTCCTTAACGCTCGCGTCCTCGCTAGGAAGTTTATCACCCTCTACACGCTGTGTAAAGAGCTGTTGTCCAAACAGGTACTATCTGCTTTCTTTGCCGTTTACACATCTGATGTGGTTAGAAAAAGCCAGACCCATTTCCACATCAAAGCTGAACAACTGACACAATGTTCTTTTTATATTTGAGTCTTTTGATAAAGGAATGACTCAGAGGCACCACACAAGAGCTGACTTAACTGTCTGGGTGAAGTAGTACATGCATATGAATAAGAAGCTGCAGGGAGTTTGGATGTTATTTCATCTAAATTTTTCTTTAATCCTTTCTTTGGTCCTGTTTTACATGTCTTGCCATTATTTTAATTATTTAAAAAAGCAATAAAATCACTTGCAGTGCTGACTAATAATTAAAGTGGAGCTACTCGACTTAGGTAAGGGATTTAATAAGCCCTCAGTTCTGGATGGATTTCCCATGACCATGGGCCCATTTAAGTGTCATAGAACACTACTTCCTTTTTATGGCTGTTTTATGAAGCTTTGGTTCTTCAGACATTTTTAAATATCACCTTAATTACACTTTTTAGCTGCTCCACAGTTGTTTGCCAGAGTTTCATTGCAAGTTTTCCAGCATTAGCAACTTTGTGGCAATGAAGTCAAACGATAATGAACAGACTGCTTCTCTAAGCTATATTCACAGAGGCTGAAACTGCAAATCAAAGGGAAGTGCAGATTCAGAGAACTACTGTCTCGAGTTAAAGAAGTGGTTCATAATTGTGGATTTAATATTACATAAGTCCTGGTCCTGTGCAGAACGACTGTGCAGTGTTTTCCTGCCAGTGAGTAGACACCAGAGCATGCTAAGCGAGTACAGTGAAATATATTCATGCTATCAAAATGTGAAATAATGCTGCAATAATGTTTTTTAATAGGTTTGTGGCCTCTAGTTTCTTGGTAGTGAAATGCTGCGGCAGTGCGTGTTCTGCTGTTTGGGCCATTCTGGGTGTGTTGGTCCTGATGTGGGTGTGATATGAATATTCTGCCTGCAGTGTTGAGTTTCAGTTGGCACTGGCACCTGTGACATTGCACATGCAATCTTTGACTGTATTCATACTGCCTTAACACTCAATTAGGATCGCTCAGATCAGATTTCTTGTTTAATTTGGCTGTTGACATTATTTAAAAAATGTGGCCCATATCAGATTCCAGTGTGAACAGGTCACAGTCCTGAAGTGATGATGATGAATGTCAATGTAGAGTGATGGACAAGTCACTTCACAATGTGAACTATGATATGATTGTTCACACTGAGGTCACATTGCAAAAACCTGTACCTGATTTGAACCACATATGAACGTGGGCCAAATCAGAACTGAGACAGTGTTTGGTTTGTCCATTCTGGAATACTGTAGAAACATGGCGGTTCAACATGGCAGACCTGGTATAAGAGGCCCCACTCCCTCTGTAGACCCTTTTAATACAAAAATGTCAGCAGAGACATTTTGTATTAATTATATTATACAGAGCTTAAAATCCAAAAGGGAATCGTGTTGGTTCAAAAGCCTAATGGATTGTGTATTAGAAATTGCCAGAAAAACATATCCTCATATACCTCCCCGATTACATTACATTTAAATGCTGTCTTGAGTTTTACATTAAGAACGTGCATGCTTGGCAGATGCTGTTTGTCCAAAAAGATTCGCATAAATAGTACTCACAAGCACAATTAGTATTATACGAGTTGGAGAAGCTATTGACTTAATGAAGGACGCACGAAATTACTCAAAGTTCAAACTCCTCATGCTTGACAGACGAAGAGGAAGCTAATAGAGAGTTTGGTTAGGGTTTTCGAATAGTCTTATCTTGCGCCTCTTTTGTAATGGATAAGTCAGTCGGACAAAATTTGGTGAATAAAGCAGACAGAGATCAGTTTGGAAGCAATTAGGTACGCGTGGGCTAACATGGGTTTTTGTGATGGACTGTTTACTTATATCGAAGCTTATAGGCTTTGGTCACAAATTCCTACAAAGTTGAGTGAATTGCGTGTATTTGGAGAATCAGTATTTGCCCAAACGCTGGTCCGGGTGACCCTCTGCTAAAGGGGTCCACGTCAAAAGCTCCATAGGGTGTCCAATAAGAGCTGTATTGGTTTACCATTCCTGTTTATCTGCATTTATTCCAATCTATAGATTGGAAGACTAAAAATAAGCATTTGCTATTCTTTTGACAAAGTTTTGAATATCTTGAATTTATGGGATGTGATTTTTGACATTTGAGATACAAAAACTTTATCCATAGAGGAGTCCGTGTCATTCTCTTAATAAATCTTGATTCAGGCGTTCGGACTGGGGCGTTTAGTTTAAATCTGATAGGTCTGGATCAGAGCGTAAAGAGACATATACTAATCCAATTTATAGCCTAGTTAGAAGACATCCCCTACGGTGAAAAATTTTACCAATAAGAGTCGTCTAAAGGTAATATATCACGGTAGACAATGTGAGAGACAGGTGGATTGTCAGCAATCATGGAGTCAAAAAATATAGACCATAATGAAACCACTGAGTATATATCTAGAGCTAATATTTGGAATAAAGTAAATTAAATGAAGCTGCGGGTGACACAGAAGTCTAAAAGAGACCAGAAAAAAATACAAATACACAGGACAAGAGGGAATTGGGTTAATAGGGAAATGGTAGACTTAGAAAAATTATCAGTGGGGAAAACTCAAATATCAATTAGATTCAAAAGAATTCACTGGAGATAATAATCTGGCTCAAAATGGGGTAATCGCAAATTGCTGGGTTTTTAACATTTTTAAAACTTCCTGCAGGTTAGGTGTGGGGGCATTCACTATTTTGGGGTCATTGTACAGTTTATCAGTTGTTTTCTAGGCATTATTGTTATGTGGGTTGAAGTATAGAAGTGGAATGTCCATAAAATCAGTGTCACGGTTCTAGGTTTTACTCAGGGAAGGTGAGGAAAAATGGGTGGAGAACCAAGTGGGGCTGGGTAGATGTAGACAACAACACTCTGTTAACGGTTTAACTCCAATGGGTGATGATTATGAGCTAAGGGGCTTTTGGTTAATGGGCTCTCAGTTCAATTTCCATCCCACTATGAGCCTGGGGGTGCGCATCGGGTACGGATGCCAGAGGACTTCCGAGCTGAATCTGTGAAATCATGCTGGGGTGGGCCGAGGCTTCTTAACCGCTCGCGTCCGCTCGCTCCCAGAGAATTATTATCACCCTCTACCGACCGCTGTGGGTAAAGAGCCTGTTGTCTCTCCAAACGAGGTAACTATCTGCTTTCTTTGCTCCGTTTACACATCGATGTGGTTATAAAAACCAGACCCCCATGCTCGCATGCGTATCTTGAAATTCCGCTGATGAAAAACTGACACAAATGTTCTTTTTATAATTTAGTGTTTGATTCTGGTTGAGTCTTTTTGATAAAGGAATGACTCAGAGGCACCACACAAGAGTCTGACCGTTAACTGTCGTGGGTGAAGTAGTAACATGCAAATATGAATAAGAAGCTGCCAGGGAGTTTGGAGCTGCGTTATTGGGTCATTCGCGCGTAAAACATTGGCGTTTACCTTAGTTTTCTATCTGTTGGGTCCTGTTTTACATGTTCTTCCGGCTCCAGTTATTTTTGAGTTTAGTTATGTTATGGAAAAAGCAATAGGAGAATCGACTTTGCAGTGCTGACTAATCTTGACGGATAAAGGTGGAGGCTACTCCCGACCTTTCAGGTAAGTGGGATTTAATAAGCCCTCCAAGTTCTGGGATGATTTTCCCATGTGAGCGAGCGCGCCCATTTTAATCCCCCATAGAACCACTACTTCCGCTTTTTATGGCTTTTTATCGACAACGGCCGTATCTTTGGTTCTTCAAGACGCATTCCTTACACACATCAGCAACGCAGTTTAATTACACTTTTTAGCTGGCTCCACATGTGTTTGCTAGGATGTTTTTCATTGCAAAGTTATTCTTCCAGCATTAAGCATAGGACTTTGTGGCAATGAAGTTTCAAACGATATATGGACAGAACCTTTGCTTCCTTCCTAAGTCTACTCACTTCACAGAGGCTGAAACCGAAATCAAAGGGAATGCAGATTCAGAGAACTAAAACTGTCTCGAGTTAAAGAAGGGATTCAATAATTGTGGATTTAAATATTTACATAAGTCGCTGGTCCTGGCAGACGACTGTGCAGTGTTTTTTCCCCTGCAGTGAGTAGAAAACCCCAGAGAAGATGCTAAGCGAGAAAACAGTTGAAATATAATTCCATGCTACAAAAATGTGAAAAATGCTGCAATAATGTTTTTAATAGTTTGTGCCTCCCCCTAGTTTCTTGGTAGGAAATGCTGCGGCAGTGCGTGTTCTGCTGTTTGGGCCATTTCTGGGTGTGTTGTCCTGAATGTGGGTGTGATATGAAATATTGCGCTTGCAGTGTTGAGTTTCAGTGCACTGGCAGCCTGTGACAATTTGCACTGCAATCTTTGACGTATTCATACTGCCATTAAACACTCAAATTAGATCGCCCTCCAGATCGATTTCTTGTTTAATTTGGCCCTGTTTGACATTGATTTAAAAAATGTGGCCCATATCAGATTTCCAGTGTGAACAGGTCACAGTCCTGAAAGTGATGATTGATGAATGTCAATGTAAGTGATGGACAAGTCACTTCACAATGTGAACTATGATATGATTGTTCACACGAGGTCACAATTGCAAAAAACCTGTACCTGATTTGAACCACCATATTGAACGTGGGCCCAAATCAAAGAACCTGAGACAGTGTTTGGTTTGTCCCATTCTCGGAATACTGTAGAAACATGGCCGGTTCAACCCATGGCAAGACTGGTATAAGAGGCCCCAACTCGCCCTCTGTAAGACCCTTTTAATACAAAAGTGTCAGCAGAGACATGTTTGTATAAATTAATTACGAACAAGAGCTTAAAATCCAAAAGGGAAATTTTTTGTTTTCTACATTGC